AGGAAACAGAGTGTCCAGAACAAAGTGTCGTCTATGCAGAATATTCAGAGTTCTAATATTTAATTCTAAAATAACTTATTTTTCCCCATGACGGCTGTGAGAATGACTTTTAGATATTTAGAATGGCTTTTATTATCTCTGTCATCTCATTCCCTCTCTCTTTGTCATTTCGGTCATTCTCCTTTTTAAACAGCCCCCAACTGTCCTTCTCAATGGACACTTGCCACTTGCCATTCATTCTCTTCCCACCAAACATTATATCCCACTCTACGGCTGTCTAACATTCTTTCACTCATAACTCGGTTGCAGCCTTCTTTGCAGAATAATCACACATTCATAAATTTTATATTCATTTCAACAGTGACAACTAATTTCAGCAAATTAGTGTGTATGTTGTGTGTGGTGAAACTCAGCTCACAAAAATGGCATTTCTCCCTGTACAATATTTGCATTAGGTTGTTGTCACACCTTGGCAGTTGTCACACCTTGACAGCCAAGGTAAATAAAATGCCTAAAAATACAAAACAAGCGAAATAACTTTTTTTCTGGTCCCAAAGAAAATGAAGCAAAAAAAGCCACAGCTGAACTGTGGAATGCCAGCATTGTTGATAACCCAACTGCTGAATCCATTTTGGGAAAGGGTTAATGGTAGCATGGCAGACACAAAACCCTTGTCATTTATACGTGCATCAAAAAAGCAAGCTAAGTTTGAAACTACTATGCCATATACATTTCCAACAGGGATTTCTGTTCCGCATGACCTTCTGTTTACAGAATTTTCTTTTATGACACTTGGAATCAATCTTGCCATGTTTTCCCAGTGCATGTGTATTCACTACATCATTTGTCATGTATCTTGTGTCCTAGAGCTATAGCCACTGGCAACAGAAAATGTCAACATCTGTGAGACAGAAATACAGACAGAAGTTGTGAAATATGTGGTAATGCTTTTAATATATTACATGGATGTAGAGGACACATTTATTAAAAGGTTTAACTTAATTTCACCAAAAGTGATTTCACTAAAACAAAGCAGAACCTTCTGCCCCCTGTGCTTTGGTTCCAGGGATTTTGTTCTGGAGATCTCACACTCCAACTTTGAATGTGCTTGGAGCAATCACTATTTTGCTTAACTCTGCTACGAAAGAGTCAAAGAATCTCTCTTCCAAACCCCTCTCTCTCCAACTGCCTTGCCCTTGTAAACAGGAATAGCTGAAGCAAATGGGTGGGCTTTCATATTATATACTTTATGAAACACTGTTCCAGTGCTACTTGTGAGAAACTGGAAGTGGCACTGAGGGAGAAAGAATAAAAGATCTACCTCTGCCGGAATTTTCTCATAGTAACCTGGGAATTTGGATGCCCTTAGTTTGAAAGCAATTATTGTATACAGTCATACCTTGGGTTGAATGTGCTTCGGGATGAGCGTGTTACTTCCGGGTTTCACTGCTTGCGCATGTGCAGACTCTAAAAATGACGTCACATGCATGCACAGAAGCGGTGAAAAGCGACGCGTGCATGCACAGGTGTGCTGTCACTGGCTACGTTTGCTTCTAGATGCGAACGGGGCTCCGGAACGGATCCCATTCGCATCTAGAGGTACCACTGTAGTATCTAAACCATATTATCTGAGTCACCACTTACTGTCGTAAAAGCATGTTTAGCCTTAAGACCACCCTAGTCCTGTTTGGCTGGATAAATAAATTTATCTGATTCCTATTCATAGGGGAATGGAACAAAACTCGCATAATGCCCTTTGACTTTACTATTCTGTTAGCTGATGATAAGAGCAGGGACTGATATACAAATGTTTAATGTTTTCCTTGTATTGGAAAGATCGCTCCAACTTATGGAGTCCTTGAAATAGTTTTTTGTGTATACAAGCAGAACCTATTGGAAGGAAACAAAGTCCTCAAAAAAGGCAGCAGAACTCCTAATCTTCTTTCAGATTCTGAAAGAGTAACTGCACCCCCAGGATGTTTCCATTTTAACAAACCTCAGCTACAAGTTCTCAAGCTATCTGTCTAAATTTGAACTTTCAACATATTGCTTTTCTTATTCCCCAACCTCCGCTGAAAACTGTTGCCTTCCAAACACATGGTAGAAAGATATTCTGCTAACAAGGCAAAACGAAATTATTTGGTCAAATCTCTAACCTAACCCACCCACCCGCTGCTCTTTTTGCCATAGTCAAGGCAGCCAACCGTACCCCAATACTTTCATTTTTCCATATTTACCATGTCTGTGTTTCAGTATGTCTCTTTCATTTAACCCTGTAGAGGACTATGTAATCTACAAGACAGACACTTCTTATGTCCCTTATTGCTATGTTTGAGTTATTACCATGCCAATAAGAATTCTCTCCTTAGCAACGTGTTCTCCTCTGGGCTAAAGATGCTTCTTAATGCTTGTAGACTTATTGCTTGGTAGGAAAGTAGGATTTTGCAGAGTGCAGAGTTTACCCCAAGAATGAGTGAAAAGGAGAGGTAGGGAGAGATGGGTGATGAACACTGGAGTCCCCCCTTCCCCATCCACAGGGTCCTGTTTAGGTGGCCTGAAGTATCAGTGAGGTGAGCACAAACTGGCTTTTCTGAAATATTTTTAACTTCTCAGTCAGATTCAGATTAATTGTTGCCACAGAACATTCCATGCAATGTCTCAGTCCTGTCTTTCACCTGAGTAGATTCAGGTTCCAAGAAAGAAAAGAAAAACAAAAACAAATCACAGTCTTGAATATTATTTTTAGCAGGAGTACATAGTATCTTTTGAGCCTTTTCTGTACAAACTGATTCCCACAACTACTCCTACCACTTTTGCCAGGAAAAGAGCAGCTTTACTTTCTCTCACTGACCTTTATAATACTGAAAGTCTGCTTGGGAAGAGTCATGGCCACAGAGTTATCTGAACCTAGAGCCTTTGGCATGTTGTGAAAGGATGCAAGCGTGATAAGCAAGCCCTTGGCACACCTTCACTGATGGACCCCTGAGGACGGTTGTAACTTAATGGTTACTTGTTTCAGTCAAATGCTCTTTACAAAAATTGTTAACAGCTTTCTCAAAATTCACACTTAAAAACTGCCTCTGAATAGACGAATTCCTCATGGAATGGCTAGTGGTTTTACAATACCTGTGGATCCTTCTAGGATACACTTTCTAGAATTGCTGCATCCCAGTGTCCCAGGGAAACAATCTGGGTTCCCTGCCTAGCTAACCCTTCATTCAGCCCTAAGCAGGCTCTGAAGTGATCCCTAACTAGATGTTTTCCAAGCCCTATCTAAGCCTAACTGACAGACAAACCCTATCTGACCTCTCACAGATATTCAAGACCTACCTGATAAACTGTCTGGTTCTAGCTTTTGACTCCCAACTCCCTCTGATTGGATAAGCTTCCACCCAGCCCTGGTTGCTTTCTGGGTCAACAGGAGGCTGAACCAAGTCTCTCTGATGCACTTGGTATGTATTAATGACAGGATAAGGATTGGGACATAGACACGTGTCATATCCTGGTTCTATTGTCTCACGTGTCAAATCTTCCAAGTTTAGAAAGCAGAAGTAACCTCAATGTGTTCTAGTTCCTCTTCAATATTCAATATCTCTCAGTAGAAAATGAAGCTCATATGAAAGATCCCAGCAGTATGTCATCCTCCAAATCCTTCACTTTTTCAGCTTAATAACCAACCTTCTTTATTTTGTTCAACAAGTTATATCCCATGCTTCTAATGCATTCGCACGCAGAGCTGCAATAAAAATACAATAAAAATACCACAATCACAATAAAACACCAGTATAAAAAAACACACAACAGAATAAAACCAGTCTCATTGGACAGGAAAACAGGCTCAACATATAAGAAGCAGAAGTTTAATGGCACAGAAAGAAGCCACCACCTTGCTGAAGCAAAGCAGGTCTGGTCTGATCAGTACCTGGATGGGTGACCAGCTTGGAATCACATGTGCACTACCTTCCTTTCTATGGTGGAAGAAAAGTAGGATAAGGATCTAAGTTCTCATAGCGACCAGCCACATGCCTATGAGTGGCCTGCAAACAGGACCCAAGCCCAAGAGCACTCTGTTCTCCTGAGGTTTCCAGCAAGTGATATTCCAATCAATGCTGCCACCAACCATGAAGGCAAAGTATAGCCAAATTGGCTACTAGCCATTGGTAGCATTTACTTCAATGAATTTGTCTAATCTTTTTTTAAAAAAAGCAGTTCCAGATGATGAACACTGTTGCCAAATTCTATAGTTTAAATGCAGTGGTACAGTATTTAAGAACTTAATTCGTTCTGGAGGTCCGTTCTTAACCTGAAACTGTTCTTAACCTGAAGCACCACTTTAGCTAATGGGGCCTCCCGCTGCCACCGCATGATTTCTGTTCTCATCCTGAAGCAAAGTTCTTAACCCGAGGTACTATTTCTGGGTTAGCGGAGTCTGTAACCTGAAGCGCCTGTAACCTGAGGTACCACTGTACCTCGGTTTTTGAACAGCTTAGTTCCCAAACAACTTGGAACCTGAACACTGCAAACCCGGAAGTAGGTGTTCTGGTTTTCGAACTTTGCCTCAGAAGCTGAACGTGCTCCTGAGTTTTCATTTTCACTGTTGCGCAGCAAATTTGAGTCCCCCGCATAGTAATTAAGGCTTTCCCCCCTCTTGTTCTACCCTTGCGCAGCAAATTTAAGTCGTCCTGCTCATTGTAATTAAGGGGTTTTTTTATCCTGTTTGTATCCTTGAGATGCTAATTTAAGCCCTCCCCATAATTAAACTCTTCTGTTTCTGACTGCAGTGTTCTGAGGTGATATTTAGTGTTTTTGTTATTGCTATTTTTTTGCGTTTTTGTTTGTGTGGCTTTTTCATTTTTGTGACTGTTGCTTGTTTTTCGTTTTATGATTGATTGATTGATTGATTGATTGATTATGTGACTGTGGAAATGGATAAAAGCCCCCCATCCAAACAGTGACTATCATCAGTGCAGGTAAGAACTTTTTTTTTTAATTTTTATCATCTACAATACTGTCTTCGTTATTTTATAGTACAGAACACTGATTATTGCTTTCATTTTATGGATCAATGGTCTTGTTAGATAGTAAAATTCATGTTAAACTGCTGCTTTAGGGGTTGTTTTTAAAAGTCTGGAACGGATTAATCTGTTTTCCCTTGCTTTCTATGGGAAAGTGCACCTTGGTTTTGGAACACTTTGGTTTTGAACAGACTTCCAGAACCGATTAAGTTTGAGAACCAAGGTATCACTGTATACACTATGTGAAGAAGTACTTTCTTATAAATGTAACAAAATGAATGACAGGGCTCACTGAGCCTCATCCGGTTGGACCACAGAAGTTTGTCAAAGTGGCAATGGAGGGAATCAAATGAACCCATAATCTGGAGGAAGCCCTTCCCCCTCACCCAAGCCAACCATCCCATCTGGTGGGACACAGAGAAGGGCCTCTCCACCAGATTTTAGGGAGCAGCAGGTTGCCACAGGAAGTTAAATATTTAATCTTCAGTTTTATACAGATATATTTTTCTCCCGCCAGTTACATATTGATACAATATATTCAGAGCAGATGGGGAGGAAGTGATCTGTCAATGTAAGCTTCAGCATGTGATTGTCCAAAGGAAAGCTTTCAAAAAGTTGTTCTTAGAATTCCTAATTGGATGGGGTATATTGATTGACAGTAGCTCATAGAGGTGAAATGAAGGAGACACCTCAAAATGAGATATATCTATATGGAAAGCGGGATTCAATCTGCCCTAATAAGCATTGAATTATGCACTGGGCATTGAATTTATTTAACTTTTTCAGAGCCTAATTTGGACATACAGTTCAGTAGAGTAACTTATGAATTCAGTATGGTTTATTTCATCAATATTAAAAGAAAAGGGAGGAAAGGCAAATTAAGACAGTGCTGTCCCACTAATATGTGAGGGTGATTTATTTATTTTTTTAATGTCACAAATGATCTCTAGCATATGGGAAAAGCACTGCTTATATTTCTTACAGAAAAATGAGCACGGGTCCAGGATCAATTTTCAAATTTAATTTAGAAAACAATTACGACAGAAACATATGTTAACATTATCCAGACTTTTGCTAAGCCACGGGTATCTGCACAACACCTTTCCCTCTCCCAAAGTAATAAAGATCTGCCACTCTCTTCTATGTAACAGCTAGCTTGTGCTTCCTTTCCCCCACGCTTTCAGGGATTATCTGCATCTGGGCTGAGAAGATAACTCATTTCCCCTTCAGAATGTACATCGCTCCACTGGGGAAATTTATGTATCCCTAGCTTAGATGTGGAGAAGAGTAGCACCAGTTGCTTCTCCATATCTGATGCAGCCACATCTTGTTCCTGTTTCTGCATGTCATGTGTTGAACCCAACATACGTCAACTGTACTGAGTTACCTTGTTCCCACAAGTGGCAGTCACTGAAGGAGAGAGAGCAGAGATGAGAAACTCACAATGAGATAGCATGTCATACGTTAACTCAGTGTTACAGAAGGAGGAGGCATGAAGCTGCCCAGCCCTTAGTACCAGCACCATTTGAGCCTTACTACAGACACTCAAACTCTATTCCACCGTTTTGGCATTTCACTTCCTGAAGATGATGAAACGGTAGCTTGGCAAACCCTTCTGGCAGTCAGTTTCCCCCACAGATCTTATTGCAAAGTTCATGTAGGAAGGTCCTTCCACCTTCAATTATGCCAGCTCTTTCTTTTTATATTAGACTATTCAGTTGAGTGCCTTTTTCAGTATTTTGGTATCCTAGATCTCATCTCAATGCTTCCATTAAGTATCTGTACCAGGGTGGCCTAATTATCTTCATTGGACAAAATATAAAGCTATGTAAAATACCCTTTCAGTCTTTTTAATTTGCTTCTCCTCCTATTTTCAATGATTGTTTCCCCCCCAATCATAGATCTTCTTGGCTGGAGAGGTCTGGTTAGATCTCTGAACCTCATGGCAATTCCTTCTTCCTTAGATGCTTTGTCATTGCTGGGTGTGCAATTTAGCATTCAACTACACATGGGCAGTGGGAAGGGAAATTGTCAAAGTTAAATGGACATTTTTCCCCAAACCCTTCTTATTACTCCTGTTCCCAGGTGTACTTCTTCATTATAAGACCAGTTGGAGCAATGGCAAGTTTTCAGTTCTTTTACATTCACATCATTACTGAAACTATTTTCATATTTGTTTCTCTACCTAAATCCTTATGCTTTCTTTGCAGCCTCATTGTATTCATTTCTGATAATGTTTCACCATCCTTTGACATCACACTTCTCTAAATGGTTGCTTAGAATCTGGTTGAACACTTGCAGGGTTTCCCAGTCTTTCATTGGGTTCTGAATCTGATTACATTTCCCCTCCTTTTCCTGCCACTTTTACATCTTTCGTTTTTCTCCAATGAGGCCAGTGTCATCTGTTGATCTCATCCAAACACTGCCACAATGAAATCTGTATGATGCTGCAATTGATTCCTCGTCTTATTAATAAAAAGAAAGTTAATCACATTTCTGGCTCTGCACTGTGGGAAAATCCAGGAAATTGTCTCCATGCATTTGTTTGCATAAAAATGTATTTGCAACAACTAAATTAATTTTTGCACCAAAAAGTGAGGAGCTTTTAATCTTTCTCACTTTCTTGCTAAAAAAGCATCCCAAAATACATGCAGAGCGATACCGTACATTAAGAAACCTTTGTTAAAATGAGAATTAGTTTGATAGTTTATTCAAAACTTGAAGGCAGTAAGTTCTTACATATACCTGAAATCAAAGCTCCAGCAATCTTGTTTAGCAATGAAATTCTGAAATGAAGTAGGTGGAAAAGCTTTAAATGAGGTTAGCACCAGACTGAAGAAACAATACACAGTTGGGAAAGAACTCTAGTTAAAGATATGCTATAGTCACATATGGCTCATAGACCTACGGAATATAATTATAAAGAGAATCTTGCCTCTGTCCTTCAGGCAGGACAAGAACAAATATCAGAGTTTATTAGGTTTAAAGTCTAGGATTTGGACAAAGTAGAGGGATATTTGCCCAAAATCACAAGGATATTTGCCCAAAATCCTCTGGGGCAATGCTGCTCCTGACTATAAGTCTGGGGATTTAAGAGAATTGTAAAGGATAGTTATAAACACTGCAACTGTCTTAGGTAACTGTTCTAATCTCAAGAAACAATAAATGTTGAGGTAGAAGGAGATTTGAAAGAATCTCATTACAAATCCAGACCTGGTACATCCAATATTAGAATCCCTTCATTATATTATCCAGCTTATTTAGTTGCCATAAATGGCAAGAAGAAATACAGGAATATTTAACAATAAATTAGCAGCATTTCCTTTTTTAAAAAAGCATGACTACTTGAGCTCAGTGCAATATTTAATAAAACTACTGCAACACTGAAGCTTCAATATGCTATAAAATATACTTTAGACAAAAACATATTAAAATAAACAATATGCCTGCAGTGATAAATACTTGGGGAATTTCATAAGTGCCAGTATATGGGCATTTCTATCTAATCTAGTCTAGTCTAAGCAGATATATATAATATTTGATGTCTTTCTTTATATAAACCTCTGTTGATTAATTCTTTCACTTATCTCATGCAATTTCCTAGCCATACTATTTCAAACTATTTTACTGTTATTGGTTTTGTGACCTGGATGTGGATTTTTAATTTTTGTTGCTCCTTTCCAAGTATGTCATCAAACTGCAATGTTTGTTGCCTGATATTATGCTGGGTAAAATATCCATCATTTTAGGAACCAAGATCTTTCAGCCTCTTCTCTTTCCATTTGCTTGGAAGACTTGTGATTATGTTCAGGGAAAATACAAAGAAAGTGGTTCAATACAGCATTCCTCTGTCAGTTTCATTACTCCAATGTCTTGATGGTTATTAGAAGAATGGCACAATCCTAACACAGGATTTGCTGGGATAAGCAGTTTAAGATCTCTGGTCAAGATGGAGCTCTGGTCTAGATGGCTGATTGCAGCTCAGCTGGGATACAGTCAGTTAAATTGAAGCTGGTTGAGCTGAGGCCCATGTAAGACCTCAAAAACGGGTGCGGTGGGGATAGGACTGGAGTGGAAGCTCTTAGGCTAGATTCTAAGCCCATTCATCTTGGCCACGGGACCTGCCTTTTAGGGCTGGGGATCTCCCTACCCATAGTAACAATGCCTTGTTTGGATTCAACCTCAGCTTGTTGCCCACATGGTGTCCTCTTTTCATCACAGGCTCTCTTGCCTGCCAATGTTTTTTGCAAGAACTGGTAAGAACTTGGGACATAGAATATCCTCTCCTCTTCTGAAGTACTGAAATTTTAAGATCCAGATTTCCTACCAAGAAATGTTTAAGAACTACTGTTGTTTATCCTAGGCTATATGTTTTGATATGTATGTGTTGTTGAAAATATGTTTGTTAATAAAAACAGAAAGATTATTTTGTGTCTTAATTATTGCATACTAAGTCAGTATTGGACCCACAACCATTTTCGTTGTATGCTTTGTTGAAACATATTAATCAACCACTGGCAAATTGGAAGCCCAAGGCTTCTTAACAACTGGCACTACTGATAACACTGACAAAGTAAAAAATTGTCCAGTAGCACCTTAGAGACCAACTAAGTTTGTTCTGGGTATAAGCTTTTGTGTGCATGGACAATTTTTTAATTTAGTTCGACTGCGTCAGACCAACACAGCTACCTACCTGAACTGACAAAGTAGAAATTCATGACAAGATGGCACTTTCCAATATCAAATTCCCTGCTGAATCTATGTCTGCATTGCTGGGTGTGCAATTTAGCATTTAACTACACATGGGCAGTGGGAAGGAAAATTGTCAAAGTTAAATGGGCATTTGTACAACCATTCTGAGACAACATACCATTTGGACTTTGCTGGTCTCCATGAACCCATTTCTCCAGCTGGCCTAAGTAGGGATTAGCACAGTCCTCATACTCTACTGGCATCCTGCTGGAAGAACTATTGTTCAACATGTGCTTCACAGTGACACATTCTGACAATTATTTTTTAAAATCTGCATATGCACAATACCTTTAAAACACCTTCAAAGTACAGTCTTTCCCTCAAAAAAATCTGGGAACAGCAATTTACAGCTCACAGAGCAACAATTTCTAGCAACCCTTAACAAGCTAAAGTGCCCAGAATTATTTGATGGGGGGAAGGTGCTTTGAGTGTGCAAATAATTTCCAGTGTCCCTCTATGGCAAAGTGGTACATTATTCTTTGTACTTTATGTATTTCACAACTGATTTGCATTCTTCTGTGATCCTGCTGTGCCTCTGTTGTGTTTCATTGATGAAAAGTGGTCTCAGCTGTATCCTATTAGAATGAGCCCCAGCATCCCACCAGGAAGCTGGAAGATGCTAGCAAATGATTGTTTACTGGATCTGCTGAAACTGTTCTCCACTGAGTTTCTCCTGTCATTTAAAAACAAAAAAGAATTGGATAAACTCATAAAGGATTATAATGGCTGGTGGCCATGATATGGAACCTCTAAATTCAGAGACAATGTAACGTAATTGCCAGAGGTTGGTTACAAACAACAAAAGACAACCATCTGGTATTATCCACTGCAGTTTCTTGCTGACATTGCTAAAGACAGAATTAACAGAATTACGGGTTGGGTGGCCTGCTATGAAGTTGCATTACAGAGTGTGAACTAATATAGCAGTTCTTAGGTTTCACTGTTCTTCATATTCCTAAGACTGCCTCTTGATTTCTCAGTCTATCCACTCTTATCTGTACATATATGGATATGATTATAATGCCAGCTAGGATTTCCTCTTGTGCCTACAAACTGACCTTGTCTTCAGGTCCTAGATGCTCCATCATCTCACTGGGAGAGATCCATCTTCCGAAAAAGACAGTAACAGCATAGAGCATCCTAGCAGCACGTCTGGCAAAGGACTAGAAGCAACTCAGCTGTAATATTGCCTTAGCTGTACAGCCTGAGCTGCACACCTGCAATATGGAAATAATAAATGTCCCAACTTACCAAGTTGTTGGAAATAATGTACTACTGAGACAGTGTATAAGAGATGATTTCAACACTTTGGGAAAATAACTACGTGAATACTGATTCATACTATTACTAGATAAATGGTAGTCTTTATGATGGCTGGGGGGAAAGAGGTAGCGGAGGGAAAGCCCTATGGACTGCAACATGCAATCTCCATGTGTTCTGCACATAGAGCAACTTGTAGGCCTCCCCATAAAGTCCCTGTTATTACACTGAGCCTCCCACTGTTTAAAGTGAGGGCTGCATTTTTCCACACTGCAACATCATCCCTTAGTGTGGTGTGTTATTTTTACCATACAATCAGCTACATAGGAGAAAGGAAAGAAGGACACTACTGGAATTGTCTAGCAGATTTTGTTCCCTTTCAACTGCCTGTTTGCTTGGCTCCATAGAATTAAATGGGAACCCAGAAAACTGAGCCAGCTCTTAACCTGCTCCTTTAACTACATAGCCTCATCAAACTCTGAGTGAGACTGAATCCTAGCAACTAGTTTTTGTGTATGTTCACCTCAAGTCAGCTATAGCATGAACAACAAGTATGACTTTGAATGACAGTTTCTGGGAATCACAAGTGGGGAGAGTAGTGTTGCGCTCAGGTCTTGCTTCTGGGTTTCCCAGAAGATGCAGCTGGTTGGCCACTTAGCATGGGCTCTTATTATGCTTTTATGCATGTTACAACTAGTAGATCCTCTTATCAAAAGGCACATACAATAGGAAGTGGATAAATGTCATGACATGGGTTTAAATCAGAATCACATCTGGAACTACAGCTCAAGCAGAGGCAAGCTTCCATGCACTTTTGTTAGCGAACCACTCACTATTAGAAGCAGTTGATGGTGACGCCTTTTTATATTAACCACATTCCTCTTTCTACCTTTGCAGCTTTAATCTAACATTTTTCCTTCAGTGCTTCCAAAATGGATAGGAAGCAGTGAATTTTGATGATGCAGTACTCTTGCGAAAGTAATGAGGTTGGTCTGAGTTAAGCAGTGGTAGATATAGCATGTGACAGAAACTGAATAGTAGTATTTATTAACCCATCCATCTTCAAGCTAATCCAGGGTGAAAAGCCCCTTCATTACTCCTTGTACTTCATTGAGAAAAGGCTTGGCTGTAACCCTGCCACACTTGACGCACAGTAATTTGGCAAGGGCACGACACTATTAGACTACATTCTTTGCAGAATGAGTGCTAAGGAAAAACTTGGCAAGTACTGTCATTCCCCGGAGCATGAGACAAGTATTTCTCCTCTGCTCATGCCCGATGTTGCTTGCTCACAGATTCTGAAAAAGCGTGTTCTCCCTCATGGAGAGCACATGTTGCGGTGGGGTCTGCCAAGCCACCCCTCTGTTGCCAGGCAGGGTTTCTAAAGAGGGCCTAGGGCAACGATTGGATGGGTGGGTTGCTGGGGTAAATGTTATGTTGCAATTTGGGCGGGAGGGGTCAAATGTTTTAAATACTCTGCACCCAGCCTGGAGCTTTCTCTTTGCTGCATGCACTGGATCACCCACCCACCCACCCTAAATTAAGGTTTCTTTTGCGTTGACCTTGCTATTCTTGTCATGGGGTCGTCTGCCGTTGGGGCAGGGGCCTGGTAGGAATTTTGTCCATTTGGCTGATTATTGTGTGCCACTTGTTTTTTTGCCTACTGCGTAGCAAATCGTCACAACTTGTAAGGTTTGCAGTTAGACATTGGTCTTGGAATTGGTTGGAGGAGGGGTTAGGATAGGCTGGGCCTGCCCCTCCGTGGTTGCTGTGGAAAGGGAATTCCGTTAAAGGAATCCAGGGGCTTGCCATCTTTTCGTCTGAATCCCTGGAATGGGGCTAGGGCCGGCAAGCCTCGGGGAGCATGCGGGGAGAGGTGATGGCCTGTGACTCAGCTCCATTTTCTCCCCGATATTGTTTTCCCTTACTGGCTTTCGGTGGTGCCCGGAAGTCAGTTCTGTCCCCAGGCGGGGAGACAGATAGTCTTAACCAATGCCTAAACAACCACTCACGTTTATGTATTTCAATAAAGTTGTGGCCAAAATTATGCCAAAAACCTTAAACAAAAATTATGTGTGTGTTGTGAGTTATTTGGGGGGTGGCTTGGGGACCTCGACATGCAAAGCTCTGTAGCTATGAGCAATTAAGCAGGCTGGAATGGAGGGATGGAGTGGCAAAATTAGCAAACAGAGTGGACATTGCAGTCTCAGCTATATCCACTCACTGAGTTCCCTAGGATTGTCATCAAGGTTGATGCTTACAGAATTGCAGCGAAGGGGGAGAAATCTCATTTCGTGACTAAATATATAAGAGGGAGAAATCTGCACCTCACGACTGAACACATTTAGCACCATCCAGAGCTAGTTAAGCATCTTCATTATTTCAGTGGGTCTGGTTATGCTTTGAACTGTGTGCTTAAGGATTGCTGATAAAGAACCATAGATGATTTCTTACTTTTTACAATCTTTTGCAGCCTGGAACTGGACAGTATGTGGCTTGAGTGTACGCCTGTCGCTTTGCCACACTCCCTTGTGGTCCTCAGACAGAGGTCCTCAGTTGGAGTTGCTGCTTGAAGACATCAGGAAAAACCTGATTAGGCTGCCTAAATATTTCTGGTACCATAGACACCACATTATTTCTTTTTCTAATACTGCATTTTAACAAGATTGTATTGTGTAGTTCTTTTGTAAAGTGGGCTATAAAGTTGTCCAGATAAATAGATGCACAAATAATTATGCCTACTCTTATTTATTCCTCCCTATACTTCTATTTTCTACTTACATTATCAACAGCATTTAATGTACTGTACACATGTATTTGGGGATGCGGGTGGTGCTGTGGGTTAAACCACAGAGCCTAGCACTTGCCGATCAGAAGGTCGGCGGTTTGAATCCCCGCGACGGGGTGAGCTCCCGTTGATCGGTCCCAGCTCCTGCCAACCTAGCAGTTCAAAAGCACATCAAAGTGCAAGTAGATAAATAGGTACCTTCCCGGCGGGAAGGTAAACGGCGTTTCCATGCACTGCTCTGGTTCACCAGAAGCGGCTTAGTCATGCTGGCCACATGACCTGGAAGCTGTACGCCGGCTCCCTTGGCCAGTAAAGCGAGATGAGCGCCACAACCCCAGAGTCGGCCACGACCGGACCTAATGGTCAGGGGTCCCTTTACCTTTACACATGTATTTATAAAACCATTTACAAATAATGGGGGGGGGGGGAGAAAGAGAACTGGGTACAACCCAGCCAGACTTCAGCACATTCCAGTCCCATGACATCAGTGGAAGAGTTAAGCACATGCATAAATCTGTTCTACTGAAGTTAATTGATTGAAAAGTACTGGACCTTGTCTGGGTTATGTCCATTATAAATGTATTAACACGATAATCGGGGGTCCATAGATTTGAGCAGGTATTCATATAGACAAGCAAAATTTGTGGTTGGTCACCAGGTCCCTACCAACAAGGTATTTTCTCTAAAGTCATGCTGAGTTCTGGAGGCACTCTGAACACCCCAAAAGTGCAGTGCAACATCAAGGACAATCATTCAACCACCACGCTAACTGCAAACACTGGAGGAAAGCTAGGACACATGCTGAACTTCTGAAGTGCCAAAAGTGTGTGGCGATGTCTTCCTCCACTCATTTTGCATAATCTTCTGGTTTAAACATGCATAGTGAAGAGTCAACGAAGCTGATGAATATCAGATTGGATTGTGTTTGCAGCAATACCAAACTCCTTACTGGAGAGACTGTCGTGTTCATAGCAGTGAACGCCTTCTCGCAGTCTGCTGTTTATGTGATCCAAGTATTAAAAGCTGCTTCAACTGGCTGAAAATTCTTTGGTATTTTGTCACAGTTCATTCTCAGCCTATATCCTTAAAAAAGAATCTATAATGAAATGCCCACTAAAAAAAAAAAATTGCTTTAGCCAACCCACAAATCTGTTTCTCCCCAATACACAGGTCACTTTCTGTAGGCCAATTCTCCATGCTGGCCTTCAGGAAAAATATTTTCAAGGTAGCTTACATATTAAAAAAATAAAACAAATATAATGAGATAATAACAAAATAGGGACGCGGGTGGTGCTGTGGGTAAAACCTCAGCGCCTAGGACTTGCTGATCGCATGGTCGGCGGTTCGAATCCCTGCGGCGGGGTGAGCTCCCGTCGTTCGGTCCCAGCTCCTGCCCACCTAGCAGTTCGAAAGCACCCTTAAGTGCAAGTAGATAAATAGGAACCGCTTTATAGCAGGAAGGTAAACAGTGTTCCGTGTGCTGCTCTGGTGCCGGTTCACCAGAGAAGCTTTGTCACGCTGGCCACGTGACCCGGAAGTGTCTGCGGACAGCGCTGGCCCCGACCTCTTAAGCGAGATGGGCGCGCAACCCCAGAGTCGGTCACGACTGGCCCGTACGGGCAGGGGTACCTTTACCTTTACCTTAATAACAAAATATGAAACAACAGACAAAATCTGGCAGTTCTACATCCTCATAGTTTTTGCCTGTCACCAAAGTGCTAGCAAAGTAAGCAGCTAGCAGGACACCCCTCCCAGGGACAGAATTCCATAAACTGAGAAGACCCCCGTATCCTGTTGTCACATTCTTATCTTGTGACGGTGAGGACACCTTGACAGGACCTTGAATGGGGATCTCAGCAAAAAGTCAAGCTAATGTGAAGACAAGAGGTCCTTTAAGCACCCCAATTCCAAGCCATGCAAGACTGTAAAAAGTAAGGACCAGCCCTTTGAATTGTACTTCAAAGTGGATCAGTAACCAACAAAGATGTTTAAGGATTGGTGAGATATATTGCAACAATTGGTGCCAATCAAACACCTTACAGTTGTATTTTGAAGTATTATTATTATTATTAGTAGTAGTAGTAGTATTAAATTTATATACAGCTTGCAAAAAAAAGGCCTCTAAGCAAAGTGTAAAACTAATTATAAAAACATGACCACACATAACAAAAATAAATAATAAAACACTTTGTCCAAACATTAAAAGCATCAGTAATTAAAATGTTGAATAAAACAAGCCTACCTCGTTTTCTTGCCTGATCACCTCATCTGTTTCCTGAGAAATCTCTATGAGGGACAAGAAGCTACAGTTAGAACTGGATATGGAACAACTGATTGGTTCAAAATTGGGAAAGGAGTACGACAAGGCTGTATATTGTCTCCTTGCTTATTTAACTTATATGCAGAATTCATCAAGCGAAAGCCTGGGCTGGATGAATCCCTAGCCGGAATTAAGATCGCCGGAAGAAATATCAACAACCTCAGATATGCAGATGACACAACACTGATGGCAGAAAGTGAGGAGGAATTAAATAACCTTTTAATCAGGGTGAAAGAGGAGAGTGCAAAATATGGTCTGAAGCTCAACATCAAAAAAACGAAGATCATGGCAACTGGTCCCATCACCTCCTGGCAAATAGAAGGGGAAGAAATGGAGGCAGTGAGAAATTTTACTTTCTTGGGCTCCATGATCACTGCAGATGGAGACAGCAGCCACGAAATTAAGAGACGCCTGCTTCTTGTGAGGAAAGCAATGACAAACCTAGACAGCATCTTTAAAAGTAGAGACATCACCTTGCCAACAAAGGTCTGTTATTGTCTTCAAAGAATCCCTATATACAATATTGTGAGTACTCCAAGCTGGATAAGACCTGTGACTAGACTATATTCTTCCAGGAGGGATCACAGTCTTGGTTGGTGATCCACTCTGAGCCACTGACAACATTTGGCTCTAGTTTTATCTAGAAACACCCAGCAGCAGCTCTTGAGGGTGGGCGTTGTGCACCTGGCCTCCTAAATAAAATGACTATAAATAGAAACCTGAAATCATATTCTGGTATTATGAAATGGTTCTAAGCTGTAACTTTCTAAGTGACAAATAGTTTTCGACTGCATGCCATTCATCTTCAGGAGAGAATTAATCTAAAAGTGAAGGGATGTTGAACATCTATGACACCACCTTCTTCTGAATACATTATCATTGATCTTAAATCCTGTTCAATACTTCAGGTGTTATATCCTGTACATCTGGATGCAAAATATCTGACAAACTGGAAGCTTCAAGCTCAGTTCTGGGTTCTGCCTTGTCTGTCATTAAACAGGAGAAGGAAGGTCTTTGCTAAAGCTCTTGGGATCCTTGGAGTTGGCAATGGGCTTCTCAATTAAATCTACTTACAAGGTGCACTTGTGCTATTTTGAGACTTCTTCCCCTCCCTCTCTTCCTCTCTGCATATCACTGCCATAACTAGGTATCTTGGCTCCCAGACCAAGCAACATAACCCAAATTTTATGATGTGAAAAATTAACTGCAGCTAAAATAAAATGATAAAACAAGGATAACAATCAATTGCAGACCATTTAAGAACACAGAACAGTATCGATAGAATAAACTATAAAATTGAAAATGAAACAAAAAATACAGATTATACTTATTACAGAGATTATAAACAGAAGACTAGAAAAAATCCAAATCAGAACGTCCTCATCCTTATAATGTAACCCTCTGAACTTTTATTGCATAAAAATTGCTGATTACTTGGTTTGAATTTATTCATTTTGTAATTTGCCATATCGATAATCTCTCCTGTCCAAGAGAGGTTATCAAATAGTTTTTATTAATTTTAACTTGCTAAAGCTTCTTGCATAGGATGCTACAGTAATGTTCGCTCAATTGCTGGCAAATTGACTTTAAACTGTATTATTTTTGTTGCAACTGCATTTTGTAATAATGTACACATAATTTATCCATGGGTTGACCACCGACTCACCTGCCTACCCGCCCACTTGGTTGAACCTCCCATCTGCCTCCATCTCCTCCTTGCCCTCTGACGCTGCTGTGATGGCCCAACAACTCTGAGAGTCCAATTTGAAATCATGCTGTACAGGCAATCCTCATTATGTGCGGAAGTTCCATTTTGGACCCCCACGTGTGTCCGCAGAGCGCATGTCAGCCTCTCCGCCTTAATCTGCCCCTTTTCATTACGTCTTTATGATGTTTTGACGCTACTTCCAGGTTTGGCACCATGCGCGTGTGCAAGATCATGCATCATTCAGATGCTCTTAAATTGGTTGTGGCCAGTAGTTTGAAGTCCCCTGTCTGTGGCCAAATGATCTCCAGTGTGATGGCAAATGAACTCCAGTATGATGGCAGTATTACGTTTTTATTAGAGAGTGAAGATAGAGAGATAGATACCTTAAGGCTCCACTCTTCCCAGTTCTGGTCGTGCTGTATTATCAGTGAACATTCACTGAGTATTAGGTGTTCCACCATGGCTGACTCTGTAACCCAGCTATACCAAGTATATTTGGTCAGATAACTAGCTCTAAAATGCTCTGTTCTCAGGAGTGGGTACCAAGGGGGAAACCAGCTGTTTCTAATTAGTTACAGGTTCCTTCTGGATTCTTGCCAGAAGAGCCAATCCTTTAGTTGACACTTATTCAAGGTCAAAGCAGAGCTCTGTTCTGGAAAATAATAATAGTCTAAAGAACTTTGACAAGCTGTTTTCCAGAGTTGGTTATCACCCAATTCCATATAGCATAGTGCAGGGAAATACTCAATTGGCATAGTAGCAATTATTTTATTATACTTTAACTGAGCACTGTCCACCCTTGCCTTAATTGTTGGCCACTCGGATTCTGTATAAAGAGGAGCTGCTGATATTCCTGAAGGTAGAGAGCATAGTTTCTGAGGGGGGGGGGGGATATTTCCCATGCTTTCCAAAACTTTAATTGAATCAGAACACCAGATTTCAATGCTTAGAGCATTTGAATAAGCACTTTACTATGAAATAGCTTTAGGACAGGTTCCATTAGCTGTTCTTCCATATTGTAATGGAACTTCATCAATGCTCCAGTGGTTTTCTGTGCTTTGACTTGCACTGCCAAGAGAGGGTTTCGCGAAAGAGTATACCCAGGTATCCAAATGAGCAGGCTTGTTCTATAGCTTGCTGATATAAACACCATTTATACCCAGGGTTGTGTTTGCCAAAAACCATAATCTTGGTCTCAGAAAAAAATATACCAGTAAATAGGCTTTCCTGTTTACAGTATGTAATGAACACCTCCAAGAGATTTTTGAGGCTGAATCAGGAAAGAGAGAGGATCACTAAAGTATCTGCACAGTGGAGAATGGGAGTTTGCATTGGCTAACTATAGCCCCTAATCATTAATATAAAAGTTAAAAAGGATGAGAGCCAGAAGGCAACCTTGCTTCACCAAGTATATTTGTGAAATATCAGAAAGTGAACCAGTTTCCATTGTAGTGATCCTGTGGAGTTGGTATTTAGTCTTAACCTGATCAAAATTATCCATAACACTCTAAAGACCTGCCTGCCTGCCTATCTATCACCACATTCAGACACTGCTCCATAACAATATTCCCTGGTTAGCTTACGTTACATCAGTAAATCATAAAAAGACAAAAACTAACAACACTCTGTGGGGCAATGGGATTCATGAAGCAGCACACAGTCTCCAAAACTGATGTAGATTGAGTTTAGTCAGCAATATCTCAAATACTAGGACCTCTCTGATAACGTTTCTTTGATGTATTGAATACTAAAACATGTCTTGCTTGATGGCTCAGCTCACCCTATATTTTTGCGTTGTCCTCTTTCATATCTCCACTGTGAATGTACTTTGAGTGACCTTTCACCCATGTTGAGCGATGCTCAAACCCTTCCCTTTCCACTGGAGCCCCTCTGGTATCCCAGCATCAAGCCCACCAGAAGCAGCCCCTGGCAGAGATGCAAGTAATAGTGTCTCATATATATATACATTCAAAATAAAAAAACAACATACAGTGGTACCTCGGGTTACATATGCTTCATGTTACATACGCTTCAGGTTACAGACTCCACTAACTCAGAAATAGTGCTTCAGGTTAAGAACTTTGCTT